GACTCTTCATTACCTGCTTTGTTCCACTCCAGAAACGGCTGCATCTCAGTGATGGGTGAGATTATTTCTGTATATAGTCTGTAAGACCCTATAGGCAAAAGGTACTATATAAATTTAAAAGGCTGTTTTGCTTTACAGGGAAACCTTTGTTAGGCAGCTACAGAGATGCAGAAGAGAAATGCTGTGCGTGCGTGCGTGTGTGTGTGTGTGTGTGTGTGAGATCCAGCATACATTCAACTCCTTTTCTTCAGTATATAATACAGAAAATGTGTGTGCGCAAGATGGGTATATGTTGTAGGTAATAGGGCTAGTGAGTACTCCTGTGTAAAATATTTCAAAATACTGTTAATGTGAAAAGTACTTTGCATTTGCTCATTGCATTCTGGAAAAAAATATTTTGCTTTGATTATTTCATTCTGCATTAGAGGAACAGACCTAATCCTAGCTCCTTAATGGTACTTGAATCTAAGACTTTCAGAGGTTAAAAAATGGGTATCTATCATTTGCATGGAGAAACTCTGCTAGTTGCTAGCAGTAGTAGGTTCTTTTGTTGTTATACGGATCAATCGCTAGAGGACAACACAACTAGCATGTTGCATTTTGTGTCAGGTCACCTGTGAAGTACTTTGGAAAGCCTAAGTGAAACTTTCCAGCCACTTAAGAGTAAAAAAGGCCTTTTTTTCTGTATATATAAAAAATTATTCTGACCTTTAAGTGCCCATATTTAAAAATAATGGCTGGATTTTAAAACTTTATGATTGGCAGGTGTGCAAATCTACCTCGGTATAATCTCACAGCACACTGCCTAAATTGCAGCCCTGCAGAAATATTACCTACATTTTCACCTGGGGAAACAATTTTATTTGGGGGGGTGCAAATGGGGAGGCAGTAAAATAAAGTGTGTGGGTGTTTTTTATTTTTCATCGACCTAGTCTGGTAAACTGCATGATAATTTTGTACGGCCAATTTATGGATGTGTGTGTGGAGGGGGGATATGTAATCATGCTAAAAATGACATTTACTCCCCAGCTGGTGTTCAAAGTGGCCAGAACATAACTTCATAGTATATAGCATCTCCTGGGTTGACTTCTCTCAGAAATGATGCAAAGGATTTTCAGTACCAGTGAAAGAGCAGGCATTATACTTCACCTCCCAACTGTCCAAATCAGATCCACATACGACGGCTGGACTAGAAGACTTCTTTACCTTTGGGCTGGGGTCCTGTGATTCTCAGTCTGGGGCGAGGAGGGTCATTGGAGATTATGGACTAACACTGTTCCAAGTAGCAGCTCCTCGTATTGTGAGTGACTCTGTCTAGGGCAGAATGGCACTGCCTGGATGCAAAGGGACATATTCTAGGACCCAGGGGATGAATGCGTATTGCCTCACGCCACTCAGAGCGACAAACATTTGCCTTAAAACAAGGAGCTCAGGATGCTGTTGTTTTGATCCCCTTTGTAAGCTGGAGCCTTACAGATGAGATGAACCCATCTTTCCCCCAGAAAGACTGCCAACAACCCCAAGTCCCTCCGTGGGCACTCTACGAGTGTACTGCAGTGCCAGGTAAGGGGCAGTGGAAGTAGTAGTGCTGGTCACTGCTAGCTATTCTGCTGGAAGCGGGGTTCTCTGCCAAGTGGTAATTACAGCTCAAGGCAACTAGTGCTACTCAAGTGTATTCCCAGAAGCCTGCTCTCTGCCTGTTCCATGGAGACTAGATCATAGCGTGGCATCAACTGGCCAAGAAAACCAACAGTCTCACCCTCACGCCTACCCCACAGTCCCTCCCTGATGTCCACCTATTCCACCAGGGATGCACCTCAGTTCCAATTGCCTTTCAACAAACAACACTAGTGGCCCTTTTTTTCCTGGTCACAAAGTGCATGCTGCCTTTCACAACCTAGATTTCCCAGTGCAAAGAATTAGGGTTGGAAGTCTCTGGAGGGCAGCTTTAATCTTTATGTTTTTATCTTGGCCCTGTTGTTTTTCATTCAGCCTTGGATGATGCTTGATAAATGAGCAAGACATTTGCAGAAAAGCAAGTCTAACAGCATATTGGGAAGTCCACTGTAACAGGACCCCGGTTACTCACCATAGGATTAACCAGGCCCCCATGGCTTCCAGCCAGAAGTTAAATAGCCCCAGTACAGTCAGCATCCCAAGATGATAGCAGAGGGACTTGTGTGCTCTTCATGTCTCCCTTTCAAGTGTGCTTCCAGTCACTGATTGTATCACCTTTTTTCTAGGCACCAGGATTATGGGGACTTTAAACAGCAACTCAGTGCCTGGCATTGTTGCTTTAGCTCAGAGGCAGCTCTGTGTGGCAATAAGACCACATAGAACCCCTGGCATCCTACAGAGCATCTCTGAGCTGCCTTCATTTTCAACACAGCTGTGCAGCCTGTAGAAAGCCTGGTCCTGTATCCAGAAGATTCAGCCCGAGGAGGAACATAGTATGGTGGGAGCTGGCATCTCTGTGTGCTGCGCCTGCAGTGGAGAGCAGCTGTATTTCAGGTGTGGCCCCTAAGGACCCAACACTCAACCTGGGGAATGTCAGGTTGGGCACAATTTCAGCATAAATCCTGTTTCAACCCTTCAGTCTCTTACATTACCATAGCACCAGTAGTCCTCAGTGAGAAGGGGCTGCCTCTCAGAGAGCTCCCAGTCAGATGGGTACATGCACTGCCCACAGCCTACTGGATCCAGCCTGAGTGCCAAGCTGCCTGTTCACCAGGGAGAAAGAAAGGAAAACCAAAGGCAAGATCAGCAGCTGAGCCAGACATGAGCCATGTCCCTAAGCTTCATGGCTGGGTGACTGCTGGGAAGTGTAGCTATCCAGCTTCTAGCCATGTACAGTTCTTGTTTCACCCTCCATTAATTTGGCAGAGATACTCTCCCTTAACCTCACCCCATCCCCTTGGTTTAGCCTGGTCATGAGTGTCCAGCAGCAACTCAGGTGAAATCTTCTGTCCTTCGGTGGTTATAGGGAGGTCACTTAGTATCCTAATGCCTCAGTTTCCTCATTGGTAAAGGAAATAACAGGTCTCCCAGGACCCTGAAAAGGGAACATGTTTAAGGTGTTTTGTGTAGGTAGAAGCTCTGAAACTATACACTGAGGACACGGAATTCTCCACATCCAAGTTTTTGAGCAGCCTCCTGCCACGCAAACAGGACTGACCCAAAATCCTGGCTCCAAACAGTCTGAAGTACTGCACAGGTAGTCCTAGCTCAGGTCATTCTGTTATGTGCTTACACTGGCATAGTGATTAGTCTGTGAGGCCTTGTGAGGCCTGTCTGGTCATGCTTTCTGGGATGCTGGTGTTCAGGAGGGAGCCCCTCTCGGAAGGGCACTGAGCCCTGCGACTGCTTCCAATGTAGACAGTTCTTCGAAGGAGCCTGATGCCAATGCACTGTCTGTACAGACTGTTCTCCCAGGAAGCCTTTGTTTAACTGCAAAGAGAGTCAGAGGTTAGGTCCCCAGCAGAAGAGCACTCCCTTTTACTCTGAGTCCTTTCATAGTGAGGATTTTCTGCACAGAGTAAAGAACGAAGGGAGAGGAGAAAGGAAATCTGCAGGTGTCTGCAAATCTTCTCTTCTCAGATATGGAGAACTGGAAAATCATGGGTTTCTCCTCCTCCTCTGTAGTAAGAGCTGTCAAGTTCTATGGCCAACCCTGGACTGTGCTTAAGTTTGGTCTAGCATGACACTACTTGCTTCTGCGGTAATGGGTGGAATCTAGTTTCTCCATTAGCTTGTCTCATAAGGCAGAGAATTTCCCCTTAACAGCTAATTTACAGTAAGATCCCCGCCACACACCTCCAAGGATGCCTTAGGCCCAGCACAACACTTTAATGAGAGGACAGTACCCACACAAGGCAAGCTACCAGCGAACAGCCCTTATTGTCAGCCAAGGCAATCAAATATCATTTGCTTTTGCTGTCTCTATTTGAAGTTAGAATGGCCAGCTCTTCAGTGTGGACTGTGAGCTACAAACTGAGGCTATATACTGAATAGCAGCTGGAGATTTGTGTGTATGATAGTCCTATAATGGCTGGGCCTGCAGAAAAGATAAGGGACATACTACTGCTGGCAACTGATGTTGTTCTAGATTTGAAATATTAGGGGCTTGAAGTCCTAGGCTGTAGTCCTCGCTCTTCCTGGCTCCTGCTGATTTGTGTAGGAATTGTGGCTTTTGGTAACAGAACACCCATTTTTCTAGTGTCAGGGGATATACAGATGAGTTTATCTGAGGTGCCAGGAGGTTTAAGAATATAACAACCATCCTGGTAATCAGCAAAGATAGAGAGAGAGGCCCTGGGGAAGAGCTGAGACGCACCGAATGTAGCAGGTGCTGAATGTAGCAGGTCAGCTTGCAGAGGCACTAAAATCAAGGGATGTAGTGGTCATGGGCAATTTTAATTACCCAGATATCTGCTGGGAGGAGCAGTCAGCCGGGACGGACCGCTCCAGGAGGTTTCTGGCTGAGATGCAGGACCTCCACTTGATTCAGGAGGTGCACAGTCCCACCAGAGGAG